TATTAAATATTAGTATAACAAACATATCTGCTTATTGACCGCTAAAAATTTTATATCTACGTACCTTAAGATGAAAAGATAATTTTAAAATAGTTTAAAAAAGAATGAAGGGTGGTATAAGCTCGCGGAAAGAAATTTGCTTTCGGAAGGAGTTGTCTTTCAGATAATTAATTTAATTTAATTTTGTTCCATCTAATTCGATACTCGTCGCCAACGTGCAAGAGACAATAGTTCTGGATAGCAGGATGGTCAGACATAAATTTAATTAATTAAAAATAATATAAAAATAATTTTTGTTGTTGTAGTTCACTTCTTTTCGAAACTTCTCTATTAAATACAATAGTTTCTATTAAATCAAACAGTCACTATGCCTTATAGTAGAGGCCCTTTGTCTTTCGCGGAGAAGAGGACTACAGTAGTACAAAAAAAAAAATAGTCACTATCGTCATAACTGACGTTAAATTACAATTTATAAGAAAAACATATTTTTGGAAAAATTAATTTTTAAAAAAGCAAAAAAAATATGTTTTAAAAAACATTGAAAAAATAGTTTTTAAAAAATAGTTTTTTTTTTTTAAAAATAAATGTCAAGTACGGCTTCGTGTCAGTCGATTAAGTTGCGCTGACTCTGAGCTTCAAATTTGGTAGGACACGAATTCGATGAATAATTAAATACAGATTTATTCCCAAGACCACTGATGTTGGGTATTTGGCAATACTTGTATGGTGCAGCTGTATGGTGAGCCAAAAATTCAATTAATTAAAATAATATAAAATTAATTTTTGTTGTTGTAGTTCACTACTGTTTGAAAAACATCTTTTAAAATTTTTCTAAAAAAATTTTTTTTTTTAAAAATGATTAGTTTTAATTACTTTTTGTGTGTATCTAAAATATAAAACTTCATTTAAAATATGCTTTAATGAAAATATCAGAAACAATTTAAATTTATTAAACATTTTCTTCAAGATAGATGCCATAATCTTCTTCTACTGTCGCAAATGCGAAACTCTTTAGACCGTTTAAGTTCGTATATTAAATTTCGTAATTAAATTTTCGTTAAAAAAATTTAACTTTTCAAGTGAAAAGTCCTTCTTCAGTGATTGGTGGTAAAGGTGCACATCCAAAGGTTTACACAGAGTGCGGAGCCATAGTTTCTGCTCATTTGGACGGTTTCAAACGTTTCATTAGCAAAATTGGCTTTCCTATGCGGAAATCAATCTTTATGTCTTGTCAATATTTGTATGTACTATATTTCAGTAACAAGGCACACGAGTACTTTGTCCTTTGTCCGTATGCAACGTAGACAAAAATTGAAGTAAAGTTTTTTTTGTTTTTTGTCAGGATAAACAAAATATAATTTTCGAACATTATGAGTAGTGGCGGTAAAATAAATCCTGTAAAATCAGGACAAAAGTAAAGAAAATCAATTTGTAGCCTTCATTCGAAAACTTATATGTAATGAAATAAGGACCTGATTTTACGCCTACTGAAGCATACGTGCGTAAAATTCTAAGTAAATAAAGAAGTAAAAAAAGGAATCAAAAAGTAACAAACAAAATACGAGCCGAAAACCGTGCCTAGTTTCCTTAAAAATGGGAACAATTTTATTAGTGCCAAAGTGAAGCCCACATGTGAAGCAAAACAGTTTCTTGTTGGTTTATTAACGTTTATTGGAGTGAAGGGAAAGACGGGAAAGAAGGGAAAGAAGTACTTTGTTTGGGTTCAAATGCTGGTTTACCAAATTTTTACTTTATTCAGGTCAAAAGTAAATTGAGTAGGAAGAATGAAAATCAGCACAGATTTTATTCACTTAAAAATTAATTTAAAAATAGTCGATTTAATTCGTTAAAAATTTTAAAGTTTAAAAGTTAAGTGAATTTTGTCGAGTGTAATTAATTAACTTAATGGAGTTAGTATCCTTTTGGCTTGGGCTTAATTAAACAAATAAAAGTATGCTTTACATTTGAATGACTTAGGTAGAGTAGATGGTTGCATTTGGAAATAATGTTTATTTTCTACACATAAAAGAAGAGTATATTTCTTTTAGTGTTTTTGTGTAAAATTCTTTAATACTACAGAAACTAAATAATATTCCAATTATGTAGTGTGGACCAATTGAACTGCAACTAACTTTAAACTATAGTAGCTTTCGTACTGTTGGCAACAGCTCATGTATATCCTACCAAATGAAACATTTAAAGAGTGACGAATAAAACAGAAAACTCTTTTTTAAATTAAATGAT